GACGCATGCGAGAGCAGCCACTGGCGCCTTCGGTGGAGCTCCGTGTGAGGCCACGAAACGCTGTCCTGGGCGGGGGAGACGCATGCGAGAGCAGCCACTGGGGCCTTCGGTGGAACTCCCTATGGGACCACGAAACGCTGTCCTAGGTTAGGGAGGCGCATGCGAGAGCAGCCACCTGGGCTTTCGACCACGAAACAGTGTCCTACGTGGGGGAGACGCATGAGAGAGCAGCCACACGGGCCTTCGGTTGGGCTTCCTATGGGGCCACGAAACGCTGTCCTGGGTGAGGGAGACGCGTGTGAGAGCAGCCACTGGCGCCTTCGGTGGAGCTCCCTATCAGCTCCCTATGGGGCCACGAAACGCTGTCCTGGGTGGGGGAGACGCATGCGAGAGCAGCCACTGGGGCCTTCGGTGGAGTTCCCTATGGGGCCACGAAAAGCTGTCCTGGGCGGGTGAGACGCATGCGAGAGCAGCCACTGGCGCCTTCGGTGGAGCTCCCTATGAGGCCACGAAGCGCTGTCCTGGGTGGGGGAGACGCATGCGAGAGCAGCCACTGGCGCCGTCGGTGGAGCTCCCTATGGGGCCACGAAACGCTGTCCTGGGCGGGGGAGACGCATGCGAGAGCAGCCACCGGCGCCGTCGGAGGAGCTCCCTATGGGGCCACGAAACGCTGTCCTGGGTGGGGGAGACGCGTGCGAGAGCAGCCACTGGCGCCTTCGGTGGAGCTCCCTATGAGGCCACGAAGCGCTGTCCTGGATGGGGGAGACGCATGTGAGAGCAGCCATGGCGCCGTCGGTGGAGCTCCCTATGGGGCCACGAAACGCTGTCCTGGATGGGGGAGACGCATGCGAGAGCAGCCATTTGGGCCTACGGTGGAGCCCCCTATGGGGCCACGAAACGCGTGAGGGGTGCGCCGATGGAGGGAGGAGGGGGAGGGAGGAGGGGGAGGAGGAGGAGGAGGATGAGGAGGAACGCGGGGCACCGTCTCTTCAAAACGAGGACCCAACACCACAGGATGGTTGGGAAAAAATCAAAAACGGTCCGGAATAGTCAAAACAAATCGTCTCCATACTATTGTTTGACCATTTTTGAGTTTTCCTCCTGTAGAGGGACACGCCCGACTTAACTCTTGATGTTCAAGGTTTCCTTGGGGTGGCGATGAATGTCTGTGTTCCACTGTGCCCTGACCGTGCAAGTCCTCGTGCCAGTCGGCCATGCCATAGCTCTTGGAGATCTCGATGGAGAAACTCTCCTGGGCAAGGAGACCCTCTGCTACACCAAAATGCTTCAGCGTGCAGCTCCAGCAGATGCTGCCCGCCCCTGCCCGTCTCCCTCCTCCTGCTCCACGTCCTCCTCCTCCTCTTCCTCTTCCTCCTCCTCCTCCTCCTCCTCCTCCTCCTCCTCCTCCTCCTCCTCCTCCTCCTCCTCCTCCTCCTCCTCCTCCTCCCTCATCCTCCCTCCCTCCTCCCCTCCTCCTCCTCCTCCTCCTCCTCCTCCTCCTCCTCCTCCTCCTCCTCCTCCTCCTCCTCCTCCCTCCTCCTCCTCCTCCTCCTCCTCCTCCTATCCTCCCTTCTGCCCTCAGGGGGACTCCCTGGGCCCAAGCTGAGGGCGGATCAGACGGAGGTGTAGGAACAGGCCAGAACAAATCAACTCTGATGTTTTTTCGGGCTGGATAAGATATCCTGGATCCTGCAATGGAACAATTTGACGGGGCGGATACAACAGGAGCATTAACGGATGGGGCCAACGCGTCCACCAACGCTAGGCTTCTGTCTTTCAGTTTCCTGTCAACGCGTCAACCTGGACGCAAGGCTTCTGTCTGTCTGTCTGTCTGACGGGGATCTGCACTAGTCCATCCTCAGAAGCAGCAAAGGATCAGTGCGGACCTCCCGAAAATCCACTCCCGATCACGGAAAACCCGCATCGGCTGCCCGCGAGGCCGAAGGAAAGACTCACGCGAACCTCCCCCAGCTGGAGCCCACCAACTGCGGCAGGCCAGCCTTGGCCACCAGGGCAGGTCCCCCGAGGCCGGTGCGGGCCTCCCACTGGGAGCCCACCGAGGGCAGGCCCCGGAGTCCCAGGCCCAGTTGAGATCACGGAAGGCCCGCACCGGCCGCCAGGGGGAGAGGCCCCCCGAGGCTCGCGCGGACCCCCCGCAGAGGGAAGCCCAGGAGGGGAGGGCCCCCGTGGTCCCAGGTGCAGCTACGGGGTAGCCCGCAGCGGGCGCCAGGGGGCGGGCCCCCCCGAGGCTGACCCCGCCAGGGGAGGGCCCCCGCACGCCCAGGCCCAGCGACGGGATGCCCGCACCGGCCGCCAGGGGGAAGGCCTCCCGAGGCCACTGCGGACCTCGGGAGGCCAGGCGGCAGCGGAAGACAAGACGTCATGACCCGTTGCCCTCAGGACCCCTCGCCTTCGTGGCGACCCCTTGCACCACCCCCCGGACTCTCGCGGGCGGCCCAGCGCTGACCACTGCCGGGAGAGCTCCGTCCGACGACCCGGCTCCCCCAGGCAGCTCCGCCTCATCCTTGCTCTAGGGGTCGAGCACGACGACGTCGCCGATTCTGGAGTCTTGGGTGTCCCGCGCGACCCCCCCCCCCGGGAATCTTGCTCAAGGTGTACCTGACCCGAGGCGTGCCCAGCAGTTCGCTCCATAGTGGAACCCGTACCCGAGGGGCCTCTGGGCCTCTTCAGGCGTGTGCTTGAGGCCGTGGGGCCTCCTTGGAAATCCTCGGGGTCACCTCGGGCCAGAGGCACCTCTGGCTCCCCCCCTCCGCCAGCACAGATCAGATCCCTGGCCCAGGGAGCGCTGGGGCCCCAGGCAGCTCGGCCTCCTCCCTCCTCGAGGGACGACGACGACGACGACGACGACGACGACGACGACGTCGTCGACATGACGGCGACGACGACGACGTCGACGTCGACGAAGACGTCGTCGCTTCCGAGGGAACTGGGCGCCCCGCGCGTCTCTCCCCTGGGGAGCTCCCGCCAACGGCCCGACTCCCAGCACAGGGCAGGCCTCTGGGCGGAAGCGCTGGCGCCTCCCACGGGGGGGGGCGCCTCCCCCCTCGCGACGATCACGGAGAGGCACAAACGCAGGATGCTCGACGGATCAACGACGATCATCGCCCGTGCTCTGTCCTGTCCGTCTGAGGCCCGCCATCGAACAGCGGCGCTTCCTGCCTGGCCAGTGTGGCCCCTCTCGGGGAGGCGGAGCTCAGCAGCGCCACGGGGGGCCGAGGGCCGAGGAGGAGGGCGACGTCGTCGCTTCCGACGCTCCTGGGCACCTCCGGAGCCTCTGGCCGCCGCGGCTGCTCGCAGCTCGACGGAGCGGCCAGGATGGCTCCCTGGGAGCGGCCCAGGGCCTGATCTCGACTGCAGCGGAGGCCAGAACACCAGAAACCTTCCACGAGAAACCCAACCCCGAGACCCCAGGACGTCCCTCGGTTTGTGCTGGCGTGAGAACGCCACGCCTTCCACGGCAGGACCGTCGAAGCCCAAGAAACCCAGGGCACCCTGGAGGCAAGCAGGGTGTGTCTTGGCATGGGCCTCCACTCGACCTTTTCCTCCTCTGGGGAGAGGGCCCGGCCACAATCCACAAAGCTTCCAGGGGCTCGTCGCGTGGCCCTGGGGGCTCCCCGCGGCGTCGCGCGCGACGTCTGTCTCGGCCACAAGGGAGGGCCCCTAAGAGGGGCCGAAAGGGCTCCAAGAGGCCGCCCGGACGGTCCAAGAGGCAAGCAGGGCAATTTGTCCACGCAGCTCGCAACCGAGCTTACACAACAACAGAGGTTGTTATCGTCGAAAGTCACTGTCTACATCCTGAGCGAGAATGTGCGGCTCGAGGAGCTGCTACGTACACCAAGGAGCGATAGTACGACGGTTGCCTCTGAGTGTTTATTTATGTAGAGGCCAGCAGGGTGTTTCTTGGCATGGGCCCCCGCCGTACATTCCGGCATCGACGATCGAACGTCAGGGTCTGCTCGTGCTCTGCGCCCGCTCTGGGCCTCCGAAGGCCTCCAGCACTTTGGGGACCTCCTCGGGCCTCCCGGGATCCCTGGCGACCTCCTCCAGCCCCCACCCGCCTCCTCCGACATCGTTCCTCCTTCCTCCCTCCCTCAACCCTCCCTTCTCCCTCTTCCCTCCTGCTCATCCTCCCGTCTCCCTCCCTCCCTCCTCCATCCTCCTCCCCCCCTCCTCATCCCTCCTCCTGCATCCTGCTCCTCCTCCTCCTCCTCATCCTCCTTCTCCGATCCCGACACGGATCCTCGTCCTCCTCCTCATCATCCTCCTTCTCCTCCTCCTCCGCCTCCTCGCCATCATCGTCATTGCCTTCATCCTCCTCTTCCTCATCCGCATCACCATGATCATCATGATCATCATGATCATCATGATCATCATCATCATCATCATCATCATCATCATCATCATCATCATCATCATCATCACCAGCAGCAGCATCAGCATCAGCATCAGCATCAGCATCAGCAGCAGCATCAGCATCAGCATCAGCATCAGCAGCAGCATCAGCAGCATCATCAGCATCATCATTGTCAGCCTCATCCTCAGCATCATCAACATCATCATCATCAGCATCATCGTCGTCATCGTCATCCTCATCCTCATCATCAGCATCCGCATCAGCATCATCCTCAGCATCATCCTCATCAGCAACACCATCATCCTCATCAGCATCATCAGCATCGTCATCATCATCATCGTCATCAGCATCATCATCACCGTCATCAGCATCACCGTCATCATCATCATCAGCATCAACATCAACATCAACATAATCAGCATCAGCATCATCAGCAGCAGCAGCATCATCAGCATCATGAAAATCATCAGCAGCAGCAGCATCAGTACCAGCATCAGCAACAGCAACAGCAGCATCATCAGCAGCAGCATCATCATCAGTATCATCATCGGCACCATCATAATCCTCCTCTTCATCCTCCTCGTCCTCATCATCCTCATCGTCACCATCATCAGCATCATCATCCGCATCAGTAGCATCAACGAACATCATCACATCATCCTCAGCATCATCATCAGCATCATCAGCATCGTCATCACCACCATCAGCATCAGCAGCATCAGCAAAATAAGCATCAGCATCGTCAGCATCAGCATCCAATCTTCATGTGCAGCAGCAGCAGCATCATCAGCATCATCAGCATCACCATCATCAGCATCATCAACATCATCATCAGCATTCGCATCATCATCGTAATCAGAATCGTCATCGGTATCGTCATCGTCATCGTCATCAGCAGCATCGTCCTCATCACCCTGCTCCGCCCACCTCCTTCCCTGCCTCCCTGCCTCACTCCCTCCATCCCTCCCCCCATGTTTGATCATCAGCATCATCATCATCATCATCATCATCATCATCATCATCATCATATTCATCATCATCATCATCATCTACATCATCTTCTTCATCATCATCATCATCGTAGTCCCCATCTCCTGTCTCATCAACGTAGTCGTCGCCAGCATCACCACCACGACCACCAAAACAAACTTACACCACCACCGCCACCATCAAACCCATCATAATCATCATCATCACCACCATCATCAGCCTAACAGTCATAATCATCGTCATCTGCAGCAGCAGCAACACCAGGTTCCTTGATATCGCCAATAACGATCTAAGAAACATCGTCATCGTCGTCGCGTTGCAGGATCATGATCATGAATTCTCATCACGATCAACATCACCATCAACAACACCAGCATCATCAGCACAAGCAGCAGCATCCTCATCTGCATCATCATGATCATCAGCATCATCAGCCTTTTTCATCGGCATCACCAGCATCCTCACCAGCATCATCAGCATCATCAGCATCCCAACCCACAGCGTCATCCTCACTCTCTTCGTAATCGGCATAATCATCATCACGATTTGAATCACAATCACCATCACCATCATCGTCAACGAAATCGACATCGTTATCCGCATCTGCACCCTCAACCGGGTCATCCACATCCTCATCATGGTCAGCATCAGCATCGTCATCCGAATCAGCATCGCCACCTCTACCATCATGAGCACGCTCATCAGCATCACAAACATAATCGTCGAGACACCTGCATCACCATCATCAGCATGAGCATAAGCATCATCAGCAACAGCAGCAACAACATAAACATGATCTTCAGCATCCTGAACATCCGCATCGACGTCCATACTACCGCATAATCGTCATAACCATCATCGTCACCATCTCCAGAACACTCACCAGCATCGCCATCGTCATCTTCAGTGGCGTCGCTACCATCAGCCTCAGCACCATCAGCACCATCAACATCATCACCAACATCATCATCCTCATCATCATCAGGATTTGGGCCATCATCGGCAACATCATGATTAAAAACATCGTTATTAACATCGTCGTCGCCGTCGTCAACATCGTCATCATCCTCATCATCATCAACATCATCGTCATCCTCAGCATCTTCGCTACCGTCATCCACATCATCACCACAACCACCACCATCCTCCTCAACAGTATCAATCGTCAGCGTCAGCGCCAGCATCAGCAGCCGCATCAACGTCATCGGCATCGCCGTCGGCACCGCCATCGTCGTCAGCATCGCGCGGGAGAGCAGGGCTCAGGCAGAACAAGAGGATGGAATGGCAACAGACAGCGTGGCCTGCAACTGCACGACGAGGCCAGAGAACTCACGCGGCGATCGGCCGAGAGTCTGTGGTTCCCGTTCCCGCGGGCCGTGCCACGAGGGCTTACGTATGCGCTCGAGCCTCAGCCTGGCCCAACTCGACGCGACAGAGTCCGCGGCTGAAGACGCCCTTGGAAAATCGGCAAACCTAAGGGGCCAGTACAGTAGCTGTCAGTGGGAGGCGGCCCTGGGTCGAGCGCGGGGGGGGGCGGAGTCGATCTACGACGGCCCCCGTCCAACCGCTGATGGCCAGAACCAAAAACGAGCCGCCACGTGCACCCCTAGACTGCGCGGCCGCCCTGGGCCAACGAGTGTGAGTGCACAGTCTCGGCGGCGACAGATCGGAAAGATGTGCACACGGTCAAACTGCGCGGATCTTCCCCGAATTGATAAAACTTCGACGGCCTTCGCGCGTTGTAAGGCGTGACTTATAACTAAAAAACTGGAACTGCCTTCAACGGCCTTAGCGCGTTGTAAGGCATGACTGAAGATGGTCTGCCCACCTTTGTTGGAAAAAACTGGAACTGCCCTGCGGGACATGACTCAAACAACGGCTCCCCCAGCGCGCGATGGCAGCGTAGGCCGTGAGACATTGCCGCACACTCCCAACGGAACAGCACCGAGTAGACTGTGGATCCGCCACCACGCGTTGAGCACGCGGCGGAGTGCCCAAAAGGCGCATACCACCGCGAGCAGCAGGTGGATCGTGAGGTCCTTCGGGGGGGGGGGGCCCAGAGCCCCGATGCTGCCAGGACTCCTCGGCGCGCGCTCTTGCGCGCCCTCGGGGCGTGCCCGCGCGAGCCTGCCGAGGCCAAAACCGCTGAAAAGCAGGACGCTGTAGCTGGGCTGGGTTCCCAGGATTTGCCTTAGGTCGGGCATGTCCCCCTACAGGCCGATTAGGGACGAAAAATCCAAAAATACTCACGCAAAAAAAGCAAAACAAAAAAATGGTCGAGAGTAATCAAAACCCCAGACTATTTTGACTATTTTGAATTGTCTTCCTGTAGAGGGACGTGCCCGGCTTAAGACCTGCCACACCCAAAGCGCTCTGGAAACCCCGAATGCACGGCGTCGGAATGAGCCGCAGGCCAGCAGGCATTATGCGATGTGAGCGTCTCCCTGGCGTAGCGGCGACAGGCTACAGGCGCCTGCCCCTCATCGCCTCTTGCTGACATGGTGCCCACAACCCCAAGAATTACCGGGCCGTCCCTTCTCCTGAAGGCGTCAAGATGGCCCTGTATCTGTCCATGCCATGTGTGACCTTCGACGATTGAAGATTTTCGAGCACAGCAGCAATTTTTGAGGCGTTGTGCTCGGCGCGAGCGTTCGCAGCTCTGATCTCCCACTTCAGCGACTCCACGTCGACGCGCGTAGCAGATCCCCTCAACTCCATGCAACCTTCCACGAAGTCTTCGAGGGAGACACAGCCTGAATCCTCTGGATCGAGAATCTTGAAGAGTTTCCACGTCTGCTTTGCGTCAACATCCAAAGCCTGGAGCGCGGGGGAAGAAGGGAGGAGTGATCGGAGAGGAGCCAGCAGGGAACGGAAAACCTATCCCTCCTCCGGCTCCTCCAATTGCTCCTCCTCCCCTCTTCCTCCTCCTCCTCCTCATCCTCCTCCTCCTTCTCCTCGTCCTCCTCCTCTTCCTCCTCCTCCTCCTCCTCCTCCTCCTCCTCCTCCTTCTCCTCCTCTGCCTCCTCCTCCGTCATGGCGTGCCCCCGCCCCAGGTGATCTTCTCCCCAGGGTCGAGATCTCGAGCTGGCGATCCAACGGCCAGGAATTCAACACCTGTGAGCGCCACCCTGGTGCGTCATAAGCAGACGGGGGCGTTGATCCATTCGGAAAGTTGGCGCTCTCCTGCCACTTTCCTGCGCCATCCCGTGCGAAGGAGGCCCTGAATTGAGACGCGGAGAGTTATCCCCAACCGCCGCCTGGGGGATCGATCTTCGGGGGCCTCAAGGCCCGAATGTACCCGCATCAACCGCCCGCGGAAGTCCCCGAATATCGATCCCTTAGCTGGTGATGATGGATATCGGTGGTTCTAAGATGGGGTCCTGAGGGATGGGGTCCTAAGGACGAGCTGCGTTAAACAACGTAACTCCGCCCTTGGATCCCTTCCTATCCGTAGGCCCCCATCACTCAGGACCCCATCATTGAAACACCGAGGATAGACAAGCGCGTTCCACTACTCGCAAAAGAACTACTCATAAATGGCGTGGATCCGCCGCGGGGGATCCACGGTGAATATTACATGGAGGCAACCACGTGTTTGTTTTCTCTGACGTTTGCGAGTAGGCACTTTGCGAGTAGTAGAACGCGCTCGGTGAGAGAATTACTCACTGCGTGGAGCTCCCCATATGTGCATCTGATGCTTTATGCAATGCCATAGTGAGCGTCTGTTCATGAGCGTCCTACCCCCTGGCGGCTCCCCTTAGGGTGCTGAAACCAGCGCCCCGCCTGAGACATCATCAAAACCTCTTATGAAAACCAAGGATGTTGAGCATGAAAACAGGCAAACCGCTTGAAACATCCCCACAAAATGGCCGCGAACGGGCCCGTGCAAACACCCCTGGCGGCTCCCCATAGGGGTGCTGACACCACCGCCCCGCCTCAGACATCCTCACAATCTGCTCTGAAAGCAGAAGATGTTGAGCATCAAAACAAGCAAACCGCCTGAGACATCCCCACAAAATGGCCGCGAACGGGCCAGTGCAAACAACCCTGGCGGCTCCCCTAGGGGTGCTGAAACCAGCGCCCCGCCTGAGACATCCTCACAATCTGCTCTCCATGCGAAGGATGTTGAGCATGAAACGGGCAAACCGCTTGAGACATCCCCACAAAATGGCCGCGAACGGGCCCGTGCAAACAGCCCTGGCGGCTCCCCTTAGGGGTGCTGAAACCAGCGCCCCGCCTGAGACATCCTCCAAATCTGATGTGTGTTGATTAAGTCAGACTAAGAGAAGGTCTGAGTATGCGTAGGTCTGAGTATGAGTAAAGTATGTGTATGAGTACGTCTGGGTATGAGTAAGTCTGAGTATGAGTAAGTCTGTGTATGAGAAGGTGTGTGTATGGGTAAGTCTGGGTATGAGTAAGTCTGAGTATGAGTGAGTCCGAGTAGGAGGAGACGAGAAGAGGAGGGGACGAGACGAGGAAGGAGGAGGAGGAGTAGGAGGCGTCCAAGTAATAACAATAACCCCATCTTAGGATAGCGAGACTGAGTATCAGTAAGTCTGAGTATGACTTGGTCTGAGTATACATGAATCTGATCATGAGAAAGTCTGAGTATGAGTAAGTCTGAGTATGACTAGGTCTGAGTATAAATGAGTATGAGTAAGAGTAAGTCTGTGCATGAGTAAGGTTGAGGAGGAAGAGAGGAAGGAGGAGGAGGGAGGAGAGGAGGGGTTTTGGTTCTGGTTGGAGTCGGCGCCGTCCAAGTAGTAACGAGAAGCCCATCTTAGGATATGGGGAATAAATCCTAGCGTCGGATTCCTGGCGGTCTTGCTGCGCGCTGCTGGACTCCCCGCTGATGGGCACCCGCCCCGGCAGCGCCGACCCGGGCGCCGCCAGGGGGGATCCCCCTCTATGAGAGAACGCGTTTCACGCGCGCCTGCCTTGGGGACATTCGGCGGCGCGATTCGAACCGGGGGGTGGGCCCCCCCCCCCAACACTCGGCGCCGTCGATCAAAACCAGGGGGACTCCCCTTCCCCCCAACCCCCCCCCTCCCGAACCCCCCCCCCCCCTCCCAAAGGGGGGGGGGAGGGGGGTGAAACACCCCCGCCCCCCCGCCCGGCGCCGGCGCCGGCGGCCGCCAACAGCGGCGACGGCGGGGACGCAGCGGAAGATGACCAGAGACGGCCCAAGGGGGGATGGCGGGGGTTCAAACCCCCCCTGGCGCCGAGGGGGGGGGAAAGGGGTCTCAAACCCCCCTTCCGGGCGGCGGCGGGCCTTCGTGCTGCCCCCCACCCGTCGTGGGTCCGCCCCTTGGGCTCCCCCCTGGGGAGCCTTTGGCCCCCTGCCACCCCACCTGCCCTCTCTCCTCGAGGAAGAAAGAGCGACACAAACATAGACTTGCTGCGCTCCGCGCGGATTTCTTGGTTCTGCTGCTGCCGGCGCCTGCCTGCACCTCTGCGCCCGCTCCTGCGTGGCGCCACGATTCGTTAGAACGCTGTTTCGGTCTCTAGTCGTGTATGGCTTCTCAAAACATCCGTTTGCGTCCTGCACCCGCGCTGCTTTAAAGCAAACTGGTCCGATGCGTGGGCCCTGCACGCGTTGCCGTCGTGGAGCCGTGCATCCTGAAGGACGCATGGGCTGGACGGCAAGGGCACTCGTGGCTCCTGCCGTGGGCCGCTGGGACTGAAGGCCGCCATAAGAACGCTTGGGAAATCTTCTGTAAGCCTCTGAAGCCAATTGCTGCCGCGGGCGACCTCGGCGACGCTTGGTGGTCCAGCTGCGCGGGGCGCCGTCCGGATTGCACAACGCTCGCCTGGCTAGTGAAGCGGCGTCGCTGTTCACGACTGTCGTAGACAGAGCGAACTGCCTAGAGGCTAGGATGTCAGAGAGCGGCTGCGACGATTATTTGCGTAGAACTTCTTAGTTAATGACCCTAGAAATAAACAAACACGGTATGTCCAACAAAAGCCGCAAGCATCTGTAATGGAAAGCATCGAGTCGGGCACGCTCAGCACGAAGTAGCCACACCGAGTCCAGGGGTTTCATCAATTCGCTCAACACGCATGATTCGTATAGAGTTTGCACGCCACTCCGACTGACGAGTGGGACCATGTTTCGTAGGATGTTGAAAATTATAGTCGCTTCTCCAATTCGCCGTGACAGCTCAGACGCAACCTTCCCGTCGCAAGTGATAAGCCCGGCCAAATGCACAGCTTCTCTCACTGACTTGATGGGCCCCCCGTCTGGACGCGATATGCTGATTCCCGTCGAGAGTTGTATCCGGACGGTCTTGTCCCAGTTCAGTTCAGTTCAGTGTGCATGAGCTGCCGCGTTCGGTAATTGTGATACTTACACTAGCCAGCACTGCACTGCTCAAAATCATAGGCCATCAAATGTTGCAACACCGGTTCCTTTACCTCGAAGAGGTATTTCGTGACACCTGTACTGTCGTTGCATCTCCAAGTTCGCGTCCCGACGCTGAGGATTGCTTGCTGAAACGCTGCGCATGAGCGACGGCCAGTGAGTTGACCACACTGGCCTCGAATGGCTCACCGCGGTCCCGCTGGAGGCGGTCCCCAGGCCCCCCGCTCCCACTCCCCACTGGTCCTCGCAAGGGGTTGGACACAGAGTCGCACGCGGAGCCCGGGCTGGAGGGCCCCGCTTCTGGCGGCAGCGCCGGAGAGGACGGCGAGCCCTCGGAGCCGTGGCGGAGCGGGGGCCTGAACTGCTGCTTGCCGAGGGCTTTGGGCCCGAAGCTTCAAGGCCCGAGGCTTTCGACACCAACCTGCGGTGCGCCTTCGGCCGGAGCCAGGCGCGCAGCAGTCATCAGACCCCAGCGCGGGGGGGCATTCACAAGCCGAGCACAGGACGCCCTGGGCCAGTGTGCTTCGGAAGCGAGTTCCCCGTGGACGGGAATGCGAGGTCTGCCCGGAAGCCTGGCCCCCAAACCACTGACGTCCGCCTGCAGTGGTCTGGAGCCTGGCCCCTTCCTCCCTCGACCCCGACCCTTCCCTGAACAGAATCTCTTGGCTGCCAGGCAGAAGAGCAGGGTGAGAGGCCGGAAGCCTGGCCCCCAAACCACTGACGTCCGCCTGCAGTGGTCTGGAGCCTGGCCCCTTCCTCCCTCGACCCCGACCCTTCCCTGAACAGAATCTCTTGGCTGCCAGGCAGAAGGGCAGGGTGAGAGGATTGCAACGATTCGGCCTCGCGTGCAGAGAACCGGCCACGGCGGGGCAGGCCTCCGGAGACATGAGGGGGCAGGCCCCACACCAACCTGCCCGCCCAAGCCTGACTGGGGTCGCTCCCCCCTGAAGTCACCCCCTCTCTAACAGCTCGATGCAGTGCGTCAACCCGCCTCCATCCTCCTAGCCTCGTCCCTATTCTTCCTTCATCCTCTTCATCTTCTTCCTCCTCCTCCTCCTCCTCCTCCTCCTCCTGCCCTCCTCCTCCTCCTCCTCCTCCTTCTCTTCCTCCTCCTCCTTCTCTTCCTCCTCTTCCTCCTCCTCCTCTTTCTCTTCCTCCTCCTCCTCCTCCTCATCATCCTCGTCACCCCCCCTCATCGTCCCCCACACCTCATCCACCTCCATGAAGCCTTGAACCAAGACTGCACCTTTGGCTTGGCCAGCTGCATGTGAAGTTCAGCTGCGGACAGCCCATAATCTTCACTGGCATCTTCGCTCATCTCCTTGAACAGCATGTACAGGCGGTCAATGTATACCTGTTTCTCCCTGAGCTGAACCTCAATTGTGTGATCCAAATCTTGTTGGGCCCCCTCGATCGCATTCTGGCAGAATACGCCTGTCACCTGGGGAAGAGCCCGGGTTCCACCTCCGCCGTATTTTCTTCTTCCTCCTTCTCGCCCTGGGCCCTCACCATCCTCGCCCGACTCTACCTCCTCTTTCTCCTCCTCGCTTGTTCCCCTCCTCCTCCTCCTCCTCCTCCTCTCCTCTCCTCCTCCTCCTGCTCCTCCTCCTCCTCTTCCTCCTCTTCCTCCTCCTCCTCCTCCTCCCTCAACCTCAGTGTCGCTTGTCGCCTTTCTCCTCCTCCTCTACTTGCCTCCTCCTCCTCGCCCTTGCTCTCCTCACCCTCCTCTGCTTCTTCCTCCCTCTTCGCCCTCCTCGCACTCTACCTTCCCTTCCTCTTGGAACTCCTGCCCCCTGGCTAACCACGTTGAGAACAAAAAAATATCCGCCACCGTGCATCTGCCACGAAGTGCAGCGCCATCGGGTTATGACTAGTCCCTAACAGCAGAGCGCTAGAGATTTGGAAGGTTACGAACAGCCACGCCACCCCGACTTACTGGCGCTCTTGCGGGAATCCGTCTCCCCAAGCTTGCCCCGAAGACCCCCAAGAGGTTTACCAGTCCTCTCTTGAGCCCCCAAATTAGCCGAAGAGGCCCCTCAGATGCATCCAGATGGCATCCGATAGGCTCCACAATGCCAACAGGCTCCCAGGATACCCACATCCCATGAATTCGCACCATTGGCAACCACATTCTGGGCTCCCCAGGGACATGGTTGGCAATACGGTGAGGCCGTCAATCCTTCCCACTGCGTCCTTGACCGACAACCCAAGCAAAGTGGCGGGATGGGCCGAAAGCTGTTGAATACGAAGGTAATGTAGACCAAGAAGAGCAGCATCCACATGATGCTTCCGGTTCCCAACAGCGGCGCGGTGAGATCTTTCCAGTTAATCCCCCCAGACACTGCCATCCACAGACTCAGCATCGACCTGTACAAGTCCCCGTAATACACGATTAGATCCTCGTCATCTATTACCGTACCACCTTCAGTATGTTCTGTCACGGCCTGTGTCAAGATGACTCCGAAGGCATAAACGATCGCGAATAGCAGCAGCAGTGCCCAAAAGACTGATTTACCAGCGAAGATGATGGAGTGTACGAGCATCCGCAGGGGTTTGAGTTGGCGAATTGTCCGGATGAGGCGAAGGAGCCGAGTGAGGCGAAAGAGACGCAGCATCTTCGCCAGCCCACCATTGTCGAAGAGACTACGATCCGTGTCTGAAAAAGTATGCACAACGAGCTCCAAAACAATCTCGGCAAGCGCCAGAAGCAGGATGATAATGTCGAAGATATTCCATACTCGTTCGGTAACGAAAAAGTCTGCTTTAAACACATACATTCGCGCCACGACCTCCATCATGAACAGCAGGGTGACCGCATGATTTCCTACAGATCCGCCACCGTGCCCTTGAGGCACGAGTTGGAATGTCCCCAGGTCCGTGGCCGAGTCAATGAAAGTGGGGAAACCAAAAGGTACTGATACCGCTACTCCCCGGTCCCCTCCCGGGGTGCGTTCTGACCATAACTTCGATACGAATCCAGCGGTGGCGACGAGGACCTCCCAGGAGGCTCAGAAAGGGGAAAACGAGGGAAGGGTAGAGGTATGGGTTCAGTAGGGGCCCGACCACAAGAATCTTCCACAAGAAACCCAACCCTGAGACCCCAGGACGTCCACTGAATTTTGGTGTGGGAACGTCAAGCTCTTCCATCGCAAAACCATCGAAGCCCAAAGAAGCCCAATGCACCCTGGAGGCAAGAAGGGCGTTCTTGGCATGGGCCTCCGCTGTACCTATCCCTCCTCCGAAAGAGGGCCTGGCCACAATCCATACAAATCTCCTGGGGCTTGTCGCGTGGCCCGTGGGACTACCCGCGGCGTCTCGCGCGGCTCTTTTCGGCCACGAGGGAGGGCCCCCAGAGGGGCCGAGAGGGCCCCGAGAGGCCGCCCAGACGGTCCAAGAGGGTCCCACACCGCCACACGATGGATCCAAGACGTCCAAGGTGGCCCCAAGACGGCCCAAGAAGCCTTCGAGGCGCCCCACGAGAGCTCCAGGAGCCTTTCCAAGAGGGACCCGAGAGGCCAAAATCATGGGTTTCCTTAGGTGTGTCCGTATGTTTGGGGTCCTCGATGTTTCTAGCTTCGGACGTTCCAAGACGGCCCAAGAGGCCCTCCAAGATAGCCCCAAGACGGCGCAAGAGACCCCCAGAGGGCCCCCAGACGGCCCAAGAGGGGTTCAAGACTGCCACAGAGGCGCCCAGGACGGCCCAAGAAGGCCCAAAAACAGCCCGAAGCAGGCCCCAAGAGAGGGAGCAGGAAGATGTCCCCAGGAGGCCCCAAGGAGGCGCCAGAATGCCTCCAAGAGGCCCCAAGAGACCCCCAAGAAGCCCCCAAGACGCCCCAAGAGGCACCAAAACGGTTCCAGGAAGACCTCCAAACGCTCCCCAAGAGGCCCCCGAGAGGACCCCCCCGCGACATCCCAACGAACACCCTAGAGGCTTATGACCCACTACCGAGGCACGGTGGTGGGATGGGCCGAAGGCCATTAGACATTAGATCCGCCGCCCTCTGTCGATTCATCGCATGGGTGCCTGGCACGCTAAATCCTTTCGGTTTGGGTGTTTGTTCTTTCCAAAACAACTCCCCCTGGGGCTTCGGCCCGTCCCGCCGGCCACCCGAAAAGATTGCCCAGACCCGGTTCCAAAAGGTTTGGTTTGTCCTGCTCCAGACGGCTCCAAGACGGCCCCAGATGGCCTCCAAGATCGCCCAAGACGGCCACGATGGCCTCCAAGACGGCTAAGATGATCACAAAGTGCCTCCAAGACGGCACAAGATGCACCCAAGACGGGCTAAGATAGCCTCAAGATGGCCCAAGACGGCCCAAGAGCCCCCGAAGAGGTCCCCAAGACAACCCAAGAGGCCTCTCAGAGGTCCTCCAGGGAGGCCCGAAGAGGCCAAAATCACGGATTTCCCTAAAGTTTTCAAGGATCTGGGCATTTCCGCATTTTCCGCCCTCCGACGGCCCAAGAGGCCCCCAAGATCGCTCTCCAAGAAGATGGCCCCATGACGGCCCAAGAGGCCCTCAAGATGCCCCCAAGATCGCCCCAAGACGGCCCACGAGGCCTCCAAGACGCCCAAGATGGCCTCCAAGACGGCTAAGATGGTCCCACGATGCCTCCAACACGGCCCAAGATGCACCCAAGACGGCCTGAGATGGCCTGCAGATGGCCTACGACGGCCCAAGAGGCCCTCAAGAGGCCTCCAACACAGCCCAAGAGGCCTCCAAGAGGTCTTCCAGGAGGGCCCGCAGAGGCCTAAATCATTGATTTCCGGAAAAAGTGTTTCAAGGATTTTGGCAGTTGCTTCTTTTCGGCATTCCGACGGCTCTAGACGGCCCAAGAGGCCCTCAAGATCGTCCACAAGGCCTCCAAGATGGACCCATGACGGCTCAAGAGGCCCCCCAAGACGGCCCCAACTGCCAAAATGGCCTCTGAGACGGCTAAGATGGCCACAAGATGCACCCAAGACGGCCTAAGATGGCCTCAACATGACCTCAAGATGGCCCAAGGCGGCCCAAGAGGCCCCAAGAGGCCTCCAAGACGGCCCCAAAGGCGTCCAGGTCTTCCAGGAGGGCACGAAGAGGTCAGAATCATTGATTTCCCTTAGGTGTTTGAAGGATTTTGGCATTTGCTTCTTCTCAGCATTCCGACGGCTCAAGATTGCGCAACAGGCCCCAAGATCGCCAAAGAGGCCTCCAAGATGGCCAAATGACCGCCCTGACGGCCCCCAAGACGGCCCCAAGACGGCCCCAAAACGGCCCAAGGGGCCTCCAAGACGCCCAAGATACTCTCTCAGAACCCCTGGTATGCCCCAAGAGGGCCCCAAGACGACCCAGGCAGGCCTCCAAGACGGCTTCCGACGGCGTCAGACAAGCCAGGAAAGCCCTAAGACTTCCAAAGAGGCCCCCAAGAAGCCCCCCAAAGGTCCCAAAAACCCTCCAAGAGGCCCCCAGGAAGCTCACAGGCGGCCCCAAGAGTGCCCCAAGAGGCGCCCATGAGGCCTCCTCCTCTTTCTCCTCCTCCTCCTCCTCCTCCTCCTCCTCCTCCTCCTCCTCCTTTGTTCCTCATCCTCCCCCTCCTCCTCCTCCTCTTGCTCCCCCATGCGTTCCCCAAAGTCTTTCCAAACCGACTCGGGGAACAACTGGCCCGATAGCTTGGCCAAGTTCTGGCCCAGCTGTCGGCCACAGAGGCGTGTCCCAAGGGGCAGGGGTCGGCGGTGATTCGCCGTAGGCGTCTTAGTCCGCCGCCCCCTGTCGAGTCATCGCAAGGGTGCCTGGCGTGCTAAATCCTTTCGGTTTGGGTGTTTGTTTTTTTTCCGAAAGAACTCCCCCTGGGTCTTCGGCCCGTCCCGCAGGGGACCCGGAAAGAACCTCAATCCCCAATTGTTCACTCAAGATGGCCCAAGATGGCCTCCAAGATGCCTCCAAGACGGCCACGATGGCCTCAAAGACGGCTAAGATGGCCCCAAAATGCCTCCAAGACGGCCCAAGATGCACCCAAGACGGCCTAAGATAGCCTCAAGATGGCCCAAGACGGCCCAAGGGCCCCCGAAGAGGTCTCCAAGACAGCCCAAGAGGCCTCCAAGAGGTCCTCCCTAAAGTGTTTCAAGGATTTTGACGTTTCCGCCTTTTCGGAACTCCGACGGCCCAAAAGGCCCCCAAGATCGCCCCAAGATCGCCCAAGAGATTTCCAAGATGGCCCCGTGATGGCCCAAGAGGCCCCCAAGATGCCCCCAAGATCGCCCCAAGACGGCCCACGAGGCCTCCAAGACGCCCAAGATGGCCTCCAAGACGGCTAAGATGGCCCCAAGATGCCTCCAACACGGCCCAAGATGCACCCAAGACGGCCTGAGATGGCCTCCGGATGGCTGAAGACGGCCCAAGAGGCTCCCAAGAGGCCTCCAAGACTGCCCAAAAGGCGTCCAGGATGTCCTCCAGGAGGACCCGAAGAGGCCCAAATCATTGATTTCCCTAAAAAGTGTGTCAAGGATGTTGGCATTTGCTTCTTTTCGGCAGTCCGACGGCTCTAGACGGCCCAAGAGGCCCTCAAAATCGTCCACCAGGCCTCCAAGATGGCCCCATGACAGCGCAAGAGGCCCCCAAAACAGCCCCAAGAGGACCCAAGAGGCCTCCAAGACGGCCAAAATGGCCTCCAAGACGGCTAAGATGGTCCCAATATGCCTCCAAGAAGTCCTAAGGTGCACCAAAGACGGCATAAGATGGCATCAAGATGGCCCAAGACGGCCCAAGAGGTTCCCAAGAGGCCCCCAAGACTGCCCAAAGGCGTTCAGGAGGTCTTCCAGGAGGGCACGAAGAGGTCAGAATCATTGATTACCGTAAGGTTTTTGAAGGATGTTGGCATTTGCTTCTTCTCGGCACTCCGACGGCTCAAGACGGCGCAAGAGGCCCCCAAGATCGCCCAAGAGACCCCATGACGGCCCAAAAGGCTCCCAAGACGGTCCCAAGAGAACCCAAAAACGGCCCAAGAGGCCTCCAAGACGCCCAAGATGGCCTCCAAGAACCCCTGATATGCCCCACGAGGGCCCCAAGACGACCCAGGCAGGCCCCCAAGACGGCTTCCGACGGCGTCAGAAAAGCCAGGAACGCCATAAGACTTCCAAAGAGGCCCCCAAGAAGCCCGAAAGACCCCCAAAAATCCTCCAATCCTCCTCCAATCCTCCTCCTCCTCCTCCTCCTCCTCCTCCTCCTCCTCCTCCTCCTCCTCCTCCTCTTTTGTTCCTCATCCTCCCCCTTCTCTTCTCTTGCTCCCCCATGCGTTCCCCAAAGTCTTTCCAAACCGACTCGGGGAACAACTGGCCCGATAGCTTGGCCAAGCTCTGGCCCAGCTGTCGGCCACAGAGGCGTGTCCCAAGGGGCAGGGGTCGGCGGTGATTCGCCGTAGGCGTCTTCGATAAGCCAATTAACAGCTGCGTCGATCCTGACCCTTGATGGGACAAGCTAGCAAGAACTTGTGTCTCAATGCCAATCAGCAAAGTGCTTAAGAGAATCAGAGACGCCGATATCACAGAGAATAAGCGACTCTTCACAAACAAAGCGAGAGGCATGGCGTCCACCTGCGATGAGCTGGATGGTCGACCGACACCAGCGGCCAAACTCCTCCTCACGGCAGCGTCGAACTTCCTTTTAGCTTGCCATGATAGGGTAGGCTTCATTGGTTGGGCACTCAATGAGGAGCTCGTTGCGCCCGTCAGGTTTGAGCTCAGCCTGCTCATCACCGCTGGCTGGATGGACAGGCGGTGCCGAAGAGTTAAAGTCTTGGCGGGGGTCATCGCGGGCTCCGTGCTCGTGACCGAGTGCCTTGGCAGCTGGATGCCGCTCATCGGCGAGGGCGTGGCCGGAGGCAACACCGGACTCCCGCTACGGTCGGGAGCGGCAAAGAGGGGGGTGTCCAAGAGGGGGGGGTGCAAATCATGACCCGCGGCATGTGCGCGGCCCAGCGGGGGTGCCAGGAACGTAATGAAATAAGACGAGGCGCCATGAAATCTGGGGAAATATCATGGCCCACGCCATGATATCCCCCCCCCCCTAGTCCTCACCCCCCTCTTTTCCGCCCCCGATACGGGACTGGGCCGGAGTGCCCACGCGCGGCTGCTCGTCGGACACCACGCTCGCACCCGAGAGCACCCTCGCCCGCGCGCCCTCGCCGTCGGCGGTTGCCCTCGGCGACGTCGGGCGCTCCCGCAGCCGCTGGGCGCCCTCGCCTGGCGGCTGGGCGCCCTCGCCGTCACTGCCCCAGCTGGGCGGCAGCGCGCCGTCCACCGAGGTGAGGATCGGCGCCTCGGCCAGCTCGGCCGGCGCCTCTGGCAGCGCCTCTGGCAGCTCGGCGAAGGACAGCGCCTCTGGGGAAACAGAAGTGCGCCCGCGCCGCTAATTACGCCACGGACCTCTCCCACTGCGCGTTCTGCCCAGGACTTCGATGGGGCGCATCCAGCCGCGGCGGCGAGGACCTCCCCAGAGGCCCCTCCGAGGCGCAGACGCCCTCTGCCGCTCGGGTCACTATGACTCGGCTCTCCGCCGGCCGTCCGGGACGCTCCGGGCACCTCGACGACGCCCTCGGAGAGGCGCAGCCCCTGGAGAGCACATCGAGGCGGGACGGCCGCCGAGCACCGGCGCACACGCCCGAACGCCTGACCCCGCCTCGCGTGGCCTCCCCCATCGCCGAGGCAGGGGCGGCGGCATCGGCACCCCGCCCTCCCCCGAGCCTTGCCCGAGCGGCTGCGCGCCGGCGCCGCCTCGAGGGAGCCGCCGCTGAAGCGGCGGGGCCGCTCCGCGTGCAGGAGCTCGTACTCCGCGGCGAGCTCGAGCAGCCGCTGGCGGAAGTGGCGCGGCTGCATGGCGGGCGGCTCGGCCCGCCGCCTGCGCCGCCGGGGACGGGGCCAGGACGGGGACGACATCGCACAGGGATGCGTCGGGGATCTCTGAGATCCGGCGGCTTCGCAAAGTGCATTGGGCGCCGCGGCCTCCTCGGAGCGTTCTGCACCGCCCTGGGGCTCTGGAGCGATGCGCATCCCTGCTCTGGCCCCGCCCGATGCGCGCGCACCCGCGCGGGCACTGGCCAGACGCAGCTTGAACCCTCGGGCCAGAACGGACACAGTCCAGCTGCTGCCACAAAGGAACGCGAAAGGAAGAACGAAACTCCGTTGGGGCCCCGAAGGCGCCCGGGTGCACGAGGCGTGCTGGAGGAGCCTCCGAAGACCCAGGGAACACCGCAACGCTTCCGAACCCGAAACAATTGCATCCCCCTCGCACTTCTTACGGATGCATATTTTCTAACGAACTGGGCCTAAATGTCTGTCTGGCGGTTCCGTGCTCGCCGTCGCCACCCCATCGCCGCCATGTCACTGCCTGTCGTCTGGGCATGATTGTCGGTCTGGCGGTTCCGTGTTCGCCGTCCCCGTCGCCGCCTCGTCGCCGCCCGTCGTCTGGGCCTGGGTGACGGTCTGGCGGTTCCGTGCTCGCCTTCGCCACCCTGTCGCGAAATAGACTGCACAGCATGGATGTCCCCATTGTAAGAGAACACGTATTCGAACCACCTCACCGAGGCTGGACTTCACCCATCACCCTCACGTGCTGCAATTTGCATATGATTCTGCCTCCTCGTTCATTTCCCATGTGCACTCATACATCCCAACCCACCCGGTATCGATCCCCGCCCCAATCCATATCAAATAATACCATGCGCGCGCATTCGTTTTTCACACCTCGTAACTTTGCAAAAATCCCCTGCGAAAGACGTCACGAAATGCACACACGCGGGTCGCCGCGCGCATGCCGTCATCTTTCAAAAACCGTTGGTTGCTTGAGGATTTCAGAATCGAGCGCCCAGAACAAATAACAGTGGTTTTGCAACATGAAGTTGGAAAACATTTGCACACACGCACTCTTCTAGATATTTGGGGAAACCAACACAGACTTGCAACATCGACATCACTCGAACGCTCTTGCGCGCATGCGGGGGGACACGAACCCTGTCACTCCAGATCATGCGGGCCACTCGCTCACGTCGGCCGCGCGCGCGTCAGAGTCATTGAACCCGATGAGCGTGCCAGTACACCGTGCGAAGCCCGGGGACGAAACGGACAACGCGGGACTCAACGGAATTAGCCTGGATTGAGCCAGATGGCACGGGAGCATACAGGAGGTGGCCAGTCTTCTACCACGACCGTACCAGCGCTGATGCTGAGTGCCACATCCCCAGAACCGCACCCGCACATCCTCCGCGCCTCGGTTCGCAGGGGCAGCCATTGCCTACCTACCAGACCACCCCAGCCCAACCCGAAGACCCGAATTTCGGGTTGGGGGGGGGTAAGGGTTCCACATGTGCTTTTCGATGTTCCCCGGCCCCCCCCCACTGGAAATCGAGGGTAAATCTGAGCCTTCGGGTTGGGTTGGGGTGGTTTGGTGGGTGGTGAGCAATGTTCGCGCTTCGCGCTGCGCGAAGCACTTCGCGCTCTCGCGCCGCGCCCCACCCCCACCCTGGAGGAGAAGAGGAGGGCGAGGAAAAAAAAACACGAGCAGGAGGAATCGCGCATCGCGAACCGCAAACACCTTCGCGTCCTCGTGGCGGTCTCTCGGAAGAGAGATAGAGACATCCGCAGTCGAGACCCCATCGGGGGGGCGGCGGACAGGTGAGCGCCCGATTGTTTTCCCCAACGCTCGGGCACCCAAGGCAACAAAGAATTAGAAACAAGCTGGCGACACCCAGCCCCTCCCGGGCCCTGTTGGAAAATCGGCGGGCGCTAACTTACAAATGCCGAAGTGTTGGGAACAAGCAGGTGACCATTTCACCCCACCCATGAAATTGTCACCCGCTTTTACCTGAAAATCGGAGGGCACGCTTGCCCCCTCCCGAATTTCCCCGAATTTCGGGTAACAAGCGGGTGACCATTTCAGAGGGTGACCCATAATTCAGAATTTTCAGGCTTCGGTGGGTGAAATGATCACCCGCTTGTTGCCCGAAACTCGGGGGACCACTCCCGAATTTCGCGAATTTCGGGTACCAGGCGGGTGACCAGTTCACCCCCTGAAATGGTTTCCCGCTTGCTACCTGGAATTAGGAAAGCTAGGGAGGGAGCCAGCCTAGGCCGCCCCCCCCCCCGAATTTCAGGCAACAAGCAGGTGACCACTTCAGGGAGTGAAGTGGGGGCCACAGGGGGGGGCCAGAAAAAGCGGCGGGGGCGCCCAAACAGGGGGGCGGGGGTCACCACTTTGCCTACCAACATTTTCCCGCTGCAAGAGTATTGGGCAACAAGCGGGTGACTATTTCAGGGGGCGGAATAATCCTTCCGAGCCCTCCACCCCTGCCTCCTCCACGCGTGCTGAAGCGACAGTTTTCTGCGGGGCATCCCGTGCATGTTTCTTTCTTGCGAAAAGTAGCCAACCGCGCACGTTTCTGCCTACACATCCTGCCGGATGCTTGGCTTCCTGCTGCTGCTGCATCCGAATATATTTACCGCGACAGTATTTGGCGGTGCGCAGAAGGGGGTGGAGGGAGGGGGGAGGGCTTCTTAGACGGAGGCTGCTTCTCAGAAGTCGCTGGCCTTACATCTATAGATAAGGCCGGCGCTTTCTAAGAAGCAGGGGTGTTTCTAAGAAGCCTCCCCCTCCTCCGACCCCCCTCTGCGCGTGGCTGAATCATACTGGGAGGCCAGCGGGCGACCACGTGCAGGGGGGGGGGGGGGGGCGACCCCCAGGCCGTGCACGGCGACGCTCCGTCCCACGGCCCACTGCCCGGGGGCGGGTCCGCCCCGCTGGGTTCTCGATGGCGTTGGTCCCTGCTCCTCCCCTGGCTGACAACAGAGCACAGAGCAGACTGACAGAGAGACAGACAGACTGCTTCTCTTCTGGAGGAGGAGGAGGAGGAGGAGGAGGAGGAGGAGGGCCAGTCGAGACAGCAGCACCCCCTCCCTTTGCGCTTTCTCGTCCTTCTCTCGGGGCCTCCCAGGGGCTCCTCGTCGCCGCAGCTGCATCCGCCTGGAGATGCGGGTCAAGGTTGAACCAGGGAGGAGTCCAGGGGCAATCTTGAGCGAATGTGGGCTGGGAGGGAGACGCGCTGTTGTCACCACGACTTGACTGCACCGCCCCCCCCTCCCCCTCACAGGAATCTTCCAAACTTGGACCTTTGGACCGGAAGCTTCCAGGCCAGGGCCAGGCGCCTTGGCAGAGGCGACAGACGACGACGACGACGACGACGACGACGACGACGACGACGACGACGACGACGACGACGACGACCACGACCACGACCACGACCACGACCACGACCACGACCACGACCACGACCACAGCCACGACCACGCCAGGAAGGGGGCGGGGGCGGGAGGGAGAGGAGGCGGGCCGTTTCGAAACGCCGTGGCGTGCGACTTGCACGGGCTGCTCGGCTGCTCGCCCCATACACTAGCAGGCCCTCTTGAGGGATGGCGAGACGCAGCCGATCGACGGCTGACAGCTATACACGTCCGCTGCACGACGCGAAACTTGGCTGAATTGCACAGCAAGCAACCGGCGGTCGGTGTGAGAGATATCGAAGACCGCCAGCAATGCACCACCACCACCACCACCGGCAACAGTCAGGGAAAGCCTGGGCTCTTGACTGGTGCATCGGGTCGCACGAAAGAGCTAATGGAGCGAAGGGGCTCCTTTAGATAGGGTGTATCGCATGAAGAAGAACGACAACGAGTCAGCTGGCTTTCGTGGCGCATCCTGGCGCAGGAGGCGCAAGCGTATCGGGGAAAGGTGCTGGTGCCAAGGCCGAAACCAGCTGCGTGCAGAAATCGTCGTGGCACCCCCCCCAGGTCCCACCCTCCCGCCCGCCCCAAGCATTCAGCCCTCCAGCCCCAGGCCGAGGGTGGGGCTGGGCGGGTCTGGCGGTGGTCTCCAAGGCGGTCAGGAAGCCTCCAAGCCCCAGGAGGAGGGAGGAGGAGGAGGAGGAGGAGGAGGAAGAGGAGGAAGATGAGGAGGATCAGGACCAGTGCAAACAAGACTCATCAACGATGTTGGAATGAACCCTCCCCCCAAGCTCCCACTAAAAAGATCCCTACGAGGCCTCATTCCCACTGAGGGAAGTGCCCCGTTGGGAGACAGCCATTTGAAGATGCTGAAGCGTACAAAAAAAAACGTTCTCGAGCCTTCAACGTCAAGACTAAAGCTGACTGTTGCGTCTTGACGATCCTGAATAGTGCCAGACAGCTATTTCTCGGACTTCAGCACCGACGATCAACATACCTGCTAAGCTCTGACAATCCTGAATCGTTCCAAAACACAATTTGCGGTATGGAACCATGGGAATCGATGAATCTCTTGCAAACGGTTACAACGCATGTGCACGTTTCTAAGCGAGAGCCGCATGTTTGAAAGGAGTCGCCCTCAATCCTCGAAGCTGGTGCAGCTTCTATAACGGATGTGCGCGGCTCTAAAGCGAGAGACACCTTTTGAAGACCGCCCGCCTTCAATCCGAGAACTTCCTGCGAACTGTTTAATACGAATGTGCGCGGCGCTAAGGCGAGAGACACAGTTTTTTAAAAGGCCCGCTCTGAATACATGAATTACCCCAGTGCGACCCTACCTAGAAGTTGGAGCCCCTAGGACAGGACAGCAGCATTAGTTGCTATGCTATGCTATGCTATGCTATGTCATGCCATGCCATGCCATGCCATGATATGCTGCGCTATGCTATGCTATGCTATGCTATGCTATGCTATGCTGCGCTATGCTATGATATGCTATGATATGCCATGGTATGATATGATATGATATGACATGCTGCGCTGTGCTATGCTATGCTAAGGTATGTTATGACATGATATGATATGACAATATATGCTGAGCTGCGCTA